CCGTGGGATGCCATTGAGGGTTTTGAGACCTAAGTAGACATGTAAATCATATAAATATGCAAAAACTGAATTTTTTCATCTGGTGTCTCTCAGATGCTTGGGGTGAAATTGAATCTCATGCTGCATGTTTGCTCTGGAAATAATGCATGTGAGGTTGTTTGCCAGAATAAATTAGTTTTTGTCCCAATGCTATGCCTGGGGATGGGCTGACCCCCATGGGGGTGGGGGGGTCCACCCAGGCATCAGGGCCTGTCCCACCCCCAGAGGGGGCCATCTGCAAATGGGGAGACTGAGGACAGCTGGAAGTCAGCCACAGGACAGAAGAGCTCAGAGCTGCCCCGCAGCACCCACCCCCACCCCACCTCCTCTTCAGGAGCCTCTCTATCCTCTGTCCTCTCCATCACCTCCTGTGTCGGCCCAGAAAAGGGGGTTGAGGCCCTGGCCATGACCTCTCACTACTTACTGTGTACCTTGGGCTGGTTGCTGAACCTCTCTGAGCCTCAGTCTCCTACTCTGTACACTGGGGAATAGGTTCAGTGTGGCTAGGAGGAATCTCTGTAAATTGTGCCAGGCCCTTGGCTAAGGTTCAATAAATGGCCAGAAACCGCATGAAGATTGCTACTTCTTGGGGTAAATGGCATTGCCCTTACTCTCCAGCTGAGGGGCTAGGAACCAGAGTAGGTAGAGAAGAGTTGGGTAGTACCTGGCTGGAGCTCGGGAAGAGGAAACAAGAGATGTGGGTCACAGGAGACTTCTGGGAGGAGGACACCTCCGCCTGGAAGCCTGCTCTGACTGGCCCACCATTAGAGATGTTACCATCTGCATTTCCTCGAGGGCAGACGCTGTGCCTCCTTTGTCCTTTCCCCGGGTGCCCACATGGGCGAACACTGAGCCATGAGTCCAGAAACCTAGGTTTCATTTCCACCTTCAGCCTGAGCTCATGGTGTGGCTTGGGTGCTCCTGGGCTTCTCTAGGCCTCGGGTTTCCTGTCAGTGTGGCTGGGAAGTGGCCATCTGCACAGCTACCACTGTCTGGGTCCTCCGGCTCTTACAGAGGCTATTTAAAAATAACTGCATCTTCCTGCCTGTCACTCTCCCTGTCAGCTGTCACCCCTGGCTCAGTGTCTTCCACCTCTTAGCCCCTCGCCCTTGCTTATTTCTGCCTTCATTCATTCTTGTCTTTGAACTGAACCCTCGTGAGATACCCAGTCTGCCAGAAGTAAGGGGTCTCACCCAGCCCAACTTTTCTAATGCAGTTTTACTCATGGTGGGAAGGGGGTCTCTGGGAGGTACCAACTGTACTTTAATGCCTGCTGGACCCTCTTCTGGCCACAGGAGGATGTGGGCAGGACAGGGACCTGGAAATAGGTCATCTGAGCAGACAGGTGTTGAACATCACCAGAGCTACCACAGAGTTGCACAGGGGCACTTGGCAAGCCGCAGCTTAGATCCAGCCATGTTCCCCTCACCGAGCCAGGAACCTGCCGTGGCCCCGCATCCACCCACAGGGGGCGCCTCAAGCGGTTTTCCCCTGACCCAACAGGTGGATTATCTTAGTAACCATTGCCATTTCCCAGCCCAAGTCCCTCAGTTCCCAGCCACTCCACCTTTCCGGGGTCTTCACCAGCCCCCAGCAAGCCCAGAGTGGTGGGGTCTGTTCCCCAGTCATGCAGAACTGCTGCGTTTATCAGGAGCCAGGCCTGTCTGGCAAAGGGTGATACCCAGGAGATGGAGCGACTGCCATGGGGAGCACTAGCCATGCTGTTATCTGGGAGGCTCGGCCTGCCAGCCAGGGGGCTCCGATTAGGAAGCGTGGCCGTTTGCCTGTGGGTGCATGCGTGGGCAGGTGGGGGGCGAGCCAGAGCCAGGGCTCCCGGAAAGGGACCACGGGCCCCCATAAATATGACAAGCAGAGCGGACTGGGATGCCTGGGGCTGTCCCACTCTTTCTGTTGCTCATGGGGCAACCTGGGCCAGTTGCCTTCCTCCACCTCCATGCCCCTGAGTCCCAGCCCACACATGGAAAGACTGAGTTGAATTCCGAGCCCCTCCTCCCACAGGAAGGTGGGCACCAGCCTCAGATGGAAAGTGTTGTCTCTTCATGGGGGCTCCATGACCAACAAGGCCACGAACGACTCCTACACAAACATTTGCTCACAGAAAAGAAAGTGTGTGAAAACCGAGGGCATCACTGCCACTGCGCCTGTCCTGTCTGTGGCCCCAGCAGCAGGTCTAGTACCTAGAGGAGCAAGTGGGCAACCCAGTTAAGAGGCCCATGTGCAGGCCAACCTGTGTGACTTAGTGCATTTCTAGTGTCGAGGGAGGGTAAGCCATTGCTTTGGGATTCTGGGTGCTTCCCCCTTGATCCTACTGCCCTGAGTGGACAGTCCACAGGCTCAGTCCTTGGCTCCCTGCCAGCCTCAGAAGCAGCACATGGACCCATCAGGTGGCTGGACAGACAAACACAGGGACAGACAAATGAGTGCCTGGCGAGCTCATCTCTAGACAGTCTCTTCATCCCCCATCTCTCCTCACAGACACCTGTCCCTGAGGGCTGGCCAGGTGGAAGACCACAGATACAGATACAGCCAGGACACAAGGGCCAGGACCCTCGGTCAGCATCTGGAGCCAGGTGGCCTGGGTTCAGATCCTGGCATCCCACGGCCAGCTATGTGTCCTCTCAGGGCCTGGGTTTCTTCATCTCCACAAGGAGGCTTAAGGAGAAGGCCAGCTTCACAGGGCTGCCTGGGCAGGATTGGGCGACTGCATGTGGCTGGGCCACACTCCTGTCCCTTAGCACCAATTTCTGAGGGCCTGAGGAGGGTGTGGCCCATGGGCTGAGACCCAGGCATCCTAGGGGGCTGGCAGAGGACTCAGACCCTTGTGGGCAGGCCACAAAGCAACAGAGCTGGCCACTGCCCCCCTCTCTGCGGGGCTGATAAAGGGGCGCCGGCCTCCTCGGCCTCGCCCTGGTCTCCTGCCATCTTATCTGCCCTGGGGAAGACAAGGACCCAGTTAGAACGTTTTAGCCAGGCCTCCTGGCATATTCACAAGTTATCTCTGCCATTAGGCCGGCAGTTATCTGATAATCGGGCCCATTAAGGCCACAGCCTGCCCAGTCGGGGCTCCAGGAAGTGGGGCCGCCACAGAAGCGCTTGCTCAGGGACCTGGTCAGGCCACACGAGGCCTCTGTGGGCCCAGGCAGCCTGGGTGGCACCTGAAGCATAAGGTGGCCTGGCCTTCCTGAGCAGAGGTTGTGTGGCCTAGGGAGGGGCTGCCATCTGAGGACATGGCCACCTCTCTCCCCTTGTCCGAAGAGGACACTGAGGCAGGGGAGGAGAGGTAAGATGCTTCCAGGGCAGCGCTGACAAATGTGTACAACCTCGGTGCCTTAGAACATCAGAAATGGATTCTCTCACTGTTCTGGAGCCAGGTGTCAACAGGGCTGCGCTCCCTCTGGAGGCTCCAGGGGAGGGCCGTCCCTGCCTCCCCCACCTCCCCGGGCCCCAGGCGCAGCTTCCTCCTGGCCACACCGCTTCATCTCTGCCTCTGTCTTCATACGGCCTTTTCCTGGAGTCTCTCCTCTCTGTGTCTCTCCTTACAAGAACCTTTGTCATTGGACTGAGAGCCCACTGGGTGATCCGTGATGGTCTCATCTGGAGACCCTAACTTGATAACGTCAGCAAGGACCCTTTTTCTAAATAAGGGCATAATCCCAGGTTCTAGGTAGACGTATCTCTTGGGGGCCACCATTCAGCCCACGAAACAAGGTTATGTGGATAGTGTGGCAGGCGTGGGCTGAACCCAGGAGCCTAACTGTAGACCCTGCCCAAGCCTGAGGCCCTGCCCTGTGAGGGTGACCATCACAGGGGCTCACCACTGAGGCTGGTCCGTCTGTGTAAACAGAGCAGAATGCTGGCTCTACAGCAGATGCTATTACTCTAGCCATGCCACGGAGTCATGGCCAAGGCCACATAAGCTGGCAGAGCCCAGAGAGTGTGGCCCTGCCCATGGCATGGGAAGCCTCAGCCCCCTGGCCCCTTATACACTCAGCTAGGAGACAAGCCCTTAGAGAGGCCACGGTGGGCCCAAGACCTGAGGAAGACTCAGGGTCCAGCCCTTCCAGAGAGGGGGCAGGGGTCCTGAAGGCCACACGGGGTCGACAGCATTCTGGGGTCCCAGCTGATCTTCAGAGAGTAAATGGAGCCAAGCTCAACAACCCAGGTGGAGATTCTGGCCTTGCCGAGGGCCTTGTAAGGAGGGCTCGGCTCTGCACCTCAGCCACCCCACCAAACGCTGCACTAAGCAGGCTAGGCGGCGAATTCATTCAATCCTCACACCACCCAGGGAAGTAGGAAGTACTGGGGATCCAATCTTATAGGTGCAGAAAGCAAGGCTCAGCGTTCCCACAGCTGCCTTCACAGGCCCGTTGTGCAGATTCAGGGACTCACCAATGGGAAGGGGCTGGGAGGACAGTGCGGAGGGGGTGGAGATGGGTCTCGTAACGTCATCATCCTCTGCTCCACCCGTCCCAGCCTAGGCAGCAGGGGTGCCCTGGCTCCATGCGTGCATCCTGGGCACAAGCAACTTTGCCAGTGCTACTCTGACACGGCAGCTGTGGTCCCCAGGCCATGTGTGTTACTGGCACAGTGGTTATGGTTCCCAGGCCACACATGTCCCTGATAGCACAGCTGTGGACCCCAAGCTATGCACCTGCCTACTCAAATCCAGCTGCAGGCACCCCTCATTGTCCTATCTCTGCAGCCCTCGGTCTTCAGGAAAGATCCACCAGAGGGGCTGGCCCGGCCCCCAGAGCTGGGCACCAGCTACCGTTCCTGTACCTCAGGCCCAGGCCCATAGGGCAGCGCTGCCCCCTTTGCCCTGCAGCCACCTGACTGCTCCTGGGGACTGGGGCTGCAGAGGTAGGCTAGACCTGCGCAGGCAGCAGGGCTGGGTGGTCACCGTAGCGGGCGCTCCTCACACCCGATGTCTCTCCCCGCAGACGAGCTGGAGGAAGTCCTGCAGGATGGGCAGAGGTGCGTGCGGGCTCGACGCAGCCTTGCTGAGGGCCTGTCCTGGGGCCCATTCCGCGGAAGCATCCAGAGCACAGCCTCATCCCCCAGGCAGGCAGAACCGGTAAGGAGCCCCAACCATGGCTAGACCACCCACCAGTTGCAGAGTAGTGGCCAGGGCAGCCTCCCACCCAGGGCACAGGCCTCTTTGACCCTCCCAAACCAGGTCAGGGGTAGACCCCAGCTCAGGAGCCCCCACTATTACATGTGAAACACATCAGAAGATGTGGGTATTGGGACTAGGTGGGTATTGGGGCAGGGAGGGTTAACTGCCTGGGAGTACAAGGAGGGCTTCCTGGAGGAGGTGGTGCAGGGCCTATGGGACCTTCGGTGACACAGGGAGGACTTCCTGACGAGGGCTTTTTAAAAGATTTTATTGGTTTATTTTTAAAGAGAGAGGAAGGGAGGGAGAAAGAGGGGGAGAGAAACATCAATTTGAGAGAGAAACATCAATCAGTTGCCTTTCATACATACCCAACCGGGGACCAAACCTGCAGCCCAGGTATGTGCCCTGGCCAGGAATCGAACCAGTGACCTTTTGCTTTGTGAGACAATGCCCAACCAACTCAGGGCTGAGGGAGGGTCTTTCAAGTGGGCCCTTAACAGATGAATAGATGTTGGTGAGGCAGAGAAGAAGAGCTTCCGAGGGGAGGAAGCACCAGGGAGCTGAAGAGTGGGGCTGGACCTTGCATGCGTCTGAGGAGGGAGTCAGGAATGTCCCCCCCGCCCCCCCCCAGCACTTTATGGACAGGGCCCCCCAGTGGGAAACGGTGGTCTTCTGGGCACTTGGGGACAGCTGAAGCAGAAAGTGAGAGATTTGTTCTGACTTTGTCTCTGTGGGTCCTTCTGAGGACAAGGAGAGGGCGCTTGTGTCAGCAGCGCCTCCTCGGCACTTGCTAACCTCCCTCTCGGACTCAGAAGCCCCACCTGGGCGGCACCCTTTCCCTAGATGAGAATGCCTCCAAGTCATCGTTGTCTCGGTGTTACTTTTAAACTGCCCCCTCCTATTCATGTCAGGTCGGTCCGGCATCCTCTTACAGGCAATACAAAGGCTCTTTATAAAATACATTTCAATTAAAAAAGGGCATCAATTATGAGTAAGTATGAGACAGCAAGTAAGCAGCATATAGTATCATGGTAACTGGGAGAGGCCTGTGAAATGATGAGTGTTCAGGAAACGACACCACCTTGTCCTCAGGGTCCTTGCCTGGGAGGCCAGGTGGTGTGCCAGATTGGTCCTCTCAAGCCCAGGCTCAGATGCTCCAATTGTGCAGCCATAGCAATGGCCGTGGTCCTTTTTGATTCCTGATGTGGCATTCAGGTATGGCTTGATCGAAGGTACATACTAGCAGGTGGGTGCCCTGCAATGCTGGGTCTCCTGGTCCTAAGACCCCAGGTGTCAGCCTCCAATCAGCCTGCATGTAGTCATCAAGCAGCGGTGGGTTTGTTGGGTGGGTTTCTCCCCTACCCCCACCAGCACTAGAGGTTAAGTGCTATCCTGAAAGCTCCAACCTGGCAGTTAGAGCTCCCGTTTCTCAGCTGCAGAGACCAGGGTCCCAGGGACTCAGCCTGCAGTAGTGTTGAGGGCCAATAGGACTGCAGGCAGAATCCCCAGCTGCAGACCCTTGGGCCAGCATTTATAACTCCTAGCCACTGCCATGGACCATAAAACCTGGGCTGTGGGTCATACAGTCCAGAATCTCTGTGTCAGAATCTCTGGGCTTGGGTCTGGGCCTCAGGAGATTGGAGAAGTCTCCCGGGGTCCAAATGTGCAGCCTTGCTGAGCCCCGCCCCCCCTGGACTGCCCACAGTGGCCGTCACAGCTGAGCAGCCAGGCACAGAGAGGCAGGCACTGGCCCAGGCCACCCAGTGAGTCAGTGGGAGGCTGGTACAGGAGCAAGGGCACCCACCTTTGTGGCACAGGATCCAGATCCCAGGGTCTCCTACCTCAGGGCTGTTTTGCTGTGTGCTCCCAGACAGGCATCTGACCTCTCTGAGCTTCTGTTTCCTCACCATTTGGGACCTCGGGGGGACATAGGAAGTCCTGAAGAGTCCTTGAGGACTGAGCCTGCAGAACCCCCCGCCTCTGCTCAGAGGAGCTGCAGCTTGTCTGCAAAGTGGAGAAGCCAGCGGCATGCCTGCCTCCCAGGGCAGCTGGGCTGGTCAAAACGAGTAGTGCCTACCACAGGGCAGGGCCCGCAGGCACCGGAGCCAGCAGGCCTGCAGCTGGGATGATCTTGTCCTGTGGCCCCAGGCCGGGAGGAAATAGTGGAAGCTCCAAGATGGATTTTGGCTTTGTGGAAGGAGCCGGATTTTGGCTCCACTGTGGGATGGAGGCTATGTTGTTTACAGCAGTCTCTGGAGGCAGTGAACTTCCTGTCACTGGAGGCATTCAAGTAGCAGTTGACTGTTCTGAGGGTAGGCTGTCGGGGGGCAGTTAACCGTCGGAAGGAGGAAAGGGTGGGCTGGGAGCTCTGGGGCCCTGGTTTCCAAACTCTCCCAAGTGTCAAGAAAACCTGTGAGCAGTGACAGGACAAAGGCAGGTAGCTGAGGGGTGGGGGTCTCAGAATGTTCTAAGTGGGATCTGCATGTCTCTCCTCTGGTCCCTCCTGGAGATAATTGGCCCCTTCCAAGATATACACGTGTGTGCTCGTGCTTACACATGGCCAGCCCCTTTGCAAAGCCATCCAGATCAAGTAGCAGAGGGAGAACTGTCTGCCCAACCCCAAAGACTCCTGCAGGCTCCACCGGACAGGGCTGAGGGGCTGGAGACACAGGCACCAGCCCAGGCCTCCCTGGCCCCCCGGGGCCCCCACCTCCCCATGGGGGTTTTGTCCTCCTCGAGCCTGGGGCACAGGTCAGCCTGGGGAGACTTGGCACAAGGCTGGAAACGCTCTCCAGGCAGAGAGATAATGCTGAGGGAGCGAGCACCAGAGAAGCCAACAACCTTTGAGGCTCTTGCGGAGGAGCCTGGGGAGGAAGGAGCCCTGCCTGCTCTTCCCCGCAGCTTTATCTCCTACAGAATTAAATCCTTGATTAACCCTTATCTTCCCAGCAGGCGCTATCTCTGCCTTGGCGCCGAGTGTCCAGACGCACCGTACAAGATGATTGATTTCTTAAAGATACATGTGCTTTTCTGATACTTCACTTATTGTCTAAATATTTTTGCTAACATTTCAGTGGGCCTCTTATCAAGCTCAGCTGAGGGGTCCCAGTTCTCTACCTCGAGCACCTCCTGCCCCAGATCGTCCTATCAGCCACCAGGCCGTACTCACTCTTTGAGAAGGAGGAGGGGCAGGAGGAGGGGCACCGGTGGGGTGTGGCTACCCTTTCCTGCTGGTGGTGGGGAGAGCTTCTTGCAGGCTGAAGGAGGGACCGGGTAGCTGGGTGCTGTGGGTGGGAGCTTCGGAAAGGACTCAGAGGGCACAGAGCCTGGCGGTGGCTGAGAGACGGTTCCGGCACCAGCCTGCTGCATTCCCTCGGTGGGTCCCTCCCTGGTCCAGTAGCAGCTTCCACTGTTGGAAACAGGGCTCGGAGGCCCAGCCACAGAAAAAGTGTTCAAGGTGGATGGAGGATGGATGGATGGATGGATGAGTAGATGGACCAATGGATTGATGAATGAATGGATGGATGGATAGGCATGCGAGCAAATGAAGGAACAAGTTTTCACCCCCAGCTTGGCCCACACTGGCTTGGCCTGTCTTTCTGTCCATTTGTACCCCCAGGGCTCCCCTACTTTAGCCCTAAAGCCATTGTAACATCATTGAGACTGGGAGGGACTCAATTGAGACTGCCAAGCAGGGCAACAGGTTCAGTGGGGAAAGGCCCTGCATAAGAGGTTGAAACAAAACCCCTGGGACCTGACCTCCACTGTGGCCCCAGGTGAGCCTTTGTCCAGCAATCAGTGTAGAGGGTAAGCCTCCTTGGTCCTTCACCTGGAGATGAAGACAGGGCCGGGCCCTGAGCTCTGAGCAGCTCTCTGTGCAGGAAGCCTCAAAGGCTGGGGTCACTGCCACAGCAGAGGCAAACCCCACAGTAGGGCTAGCACTGGCCAGGAGCCTTTCGGGGGACAAGGGGAGCTGAGGCAGGACGCCCAGATACACTCCGATGATGCCCCTCTCTCCTTCTTTGATTCTAATTTACATTTGTTTGTAATAGAGAAGAATACTCCCACCCCACCCATCACTGCACTGCTTTCCCCGTGACTTCTGGGACACCCAGCCCAGGTGTGGGGTGCCGCGAGTTCTTTACCCAAGTGGGGATGCACTGCAAGCTGCCCGGCGTCTTGCTTTGCTCACCTGCTGAAATGTGTCTGAGCATTTCAGGGCAGCCTCTTCCCCACAGCACCAGGTGCTGCTGGCTGCAGCTGTCCAGCCTCCACATTCATACCTGGAAAGTGAGAGTGACACAGGACATGCTGTGGACTCACAGCACGTGGTTTCTACCCACTACGGTCCAGGCTCGGCCAGGCAGCGCTGGAGCTGGTCTGCCAGCTGTGCCTCCCCACGCCCCTGCCCCAGCACTGCCTCCTTACTGAACAGCCCTGTGTGCCGTCCTTGCCCCTGGTGCTCCCAGGGGCCTCTTCCAACCATCCTGGCCTAATGTCCTCTGTGCAGTGGACCCAGCAGCCCCATGGGACCTCCCAGGAAGCGCCCTGAGGCTGTGGTTCCCTCCCCCTCCCACATCAGCCCAGACCCTGGGATGCCAACAGGTCACTAGGACCATGGTGCTTATTCCCCAGCAGGCCCTGGGCTAGAGCTCCCCCCTGATGCTGTCAACTCATCTTGGTCTTGAGGTAGCTGTTCCAACTAACCCTACTGTACAGATGGGGAAACTGAGGCTCAGAGAGGACCCCAGAATGTAGGCTTCCTTTGGCTACTGTAACAAAGTGCTGCAACCTGGTGTCTGAAGCAGAATTCCTTCCCTCCCAGTTTGGAGGCCAGGTGTGGGCGGGGCTGGTTTCTCCTGGCGTCTCTGAAGGAGAGTGCATTCCAGGCCTCTCCCCAGCTTCTGGCGGCTGCTGGTGATCCTGGGGGGTCCCTGAATCAGAGATGCATTAGTCCCACCTCTGCCTCCTCTCCTTGCCATTGGATTTAGGAGCCACCTGGCTAATCTAGGATGGTTCCGTCTGGGCTACCCTGAATTTAATCATATCTGCAAAGATCCTTTTCCAAAACAAGGTCATACTCAGGTTTTGGTGGACATCTTTGGGGGCAACATTCAGCCTGCTCCACAGAGCTAGCAATTGGCAGAGGCAGGGCCAGGCCAGATGGGCCCCTGGCCCTCTGTGGGATAGCCCCTGAGGGTGCCCAGGTCTGGGCTTGGCTGGAGTGCCAGGGTAGGGAACAGAACAGTGTGGGTGTCCTTCTGGGGACAAGCCACAGACAGCAGACCTGCTGCTGGCCTTCCTGGGTCCCTGGCACCTTTCCTCTCCATGCATCGGTTTCCCTGCCTGAAGTTGTGGGAGCTGGGCAAGTGCCATGGGGTGAGGGAGGAGCTATCGGCATCAAGGGGCCACAGCTAGAGGGTCAACCCAGACTGGCTTCCTGGAGACCCAGGAGGAGGACTCAACCAGTGTCAGGCACTCAGGACCTCTCCCACCACACCAGAAAGACCCGTGCTGAGAGCTGGGAGAGACCCCTTCTCCTCAGCCCTGGCCACCCCTCCCCTGGGGCCAGGGCACCAGGCCCACCCTAATGACCTGCTCCCTGCCTGCGCCCTAGGGCCACCCTGAGGAGAAGAGCTGGGGGCCACAGGGTCCTCCCCCGTGCCATCTCTTCCTCCCTATTGTCTCCCCCACCCCCACCATGTTTCCTTTCCACTCATGCCCACACGGTGCCCCGCTCACCCCTCCAGGCCTCGCCCCACCGCCTCAGCTATGGCTGCCCACGCCCCGCCGGGCCTCAGCCCAGCTCAGACCCGTCCCGTGTCCCCGGCACTCCCCCCCAGCCCCCGCAGCTCGTCTCTTGCCGGCCTCTCCACTTCATCATCCGTGCTGGGACATCAGGGGCTGCACGTTCTGTTCACGGCATCCCCGCACCTGGCACAGAGCACACCCTCTGGGACTGGTTTTGAATGAGTGACTGAATGAATGAACAGGATGCAGTGATTCAGTGGAGATCATGCAGACCCGGGTTCCGGTCCTGTGTACACAAAGCCACATCCCGTGGTCTTGGACACCATTCACCTCTGTGGGCATCAGTTTCCTCTCCTGTGAAATGGGTTCTTCACAAGGTTCGAAGAGGTAGAAGGGGCCTGAGGAGTGAAAGGCCATTGCCTCTGGCAAGGTGAGCGTAGGGGTGAGGGTAGGTGGAAATGGGTGGCGCTTCGAAGGATGGGCTGAAGAACAGAAGTTGGGGGCCCCAGTCAGAGCCCATCTGGGCCTGCCCCAGACCTGCCCTCCCCCACCCCTGCCTGCAGTAACCCGGGGGAGGCCCTGTGGCCCTGCCGACCTTCCGCAGGGCCATCTGCTCCCTGTGCCAGGCCACTTTCCCCCAGGACAGGGCCCCCACCTCTCCTTCCAAGCGGCTTCATGAGAAGCACGGTGAGGTTTGGGAACAGCCTCAGATAAAGTTGTCACAGCGGATGCGGTGGAGATAGGGTTTCCGATGGTTATCAGCGGGCAGAGAATCCAGACACTGACCTCTTTGTTGGGAAACAAGGAGCATTCTCAAACGCACCCAGAGAATTTAAAGTGGCCGCCCGTTATCCTGGGGCTGGGTGGGGCCAGCCTAGAGCCAGGAGGGAGGGACCGGGACAACTCTGAGGGGCTGTAGGCAGGTCAGGCAGGGCTTCTCGCTTACTCCTGACCAGGCCTGTCCAGTGAGCTGGACCCAGACTGCGCACCAAGCCGGGGGGCACCCAAGGAGGGAGAGTAGCTGGTGACACATGTGACTGCTAGTTTTGGCAGAAGGGCCAGGGCAAGGTGGGGGGTTATGAGTAGCCCCTCCCAAGTTTGCACCCCACTGCCCATAGGCAGGGCAGAGGGGGCTTGCCTTGGCCCAGCGCCTTCACCACAAGAGAAAAGGGCTTCTGTTCCCTAGGCTTCTCGGAATTGGGGAGAAAGTAGTAGGGAAAAAGGAAAGAGAATAACATGGAGCAACCCCATGGCGTGCCAGCCCCTCCGCAGCAGAGGCAGAGATTGAAATCTCCTCATGAAATGTCCTTATCCCCCGGGGCTCGACACGCCCCTGAGGGCAGAGGTGGCCTCAGGCTGCAGCCAGCAGACGTGGGGATGCTGGCTTAAAGCTGTCTGGGGGCAGGGTAGGGGCGGGCTTGGCAAGGCCGAGCTACACTCCCCAGGAGCCAGGGTATGGTGGCCCCTGTACCCCAAGGGGCCAAGTGCAGGCCTGTGATGCCTCAGGCAGCTGTGCCTCACCCTTTTCCAGCTTTTCCCCATCTAAGGGGGAGGGGAGGGATAGCCCACCCCAGTGTTAAGGGCTGAGAGAATATGGGCTGAAAGTCAGTCATAAAGCTCCAGATCTCCTGACCCATTTCCTCCTGGAAATCAGGTGTGGGGTGTAATACAGGGCCCCCTTAAGGCCCCCGTGTCTCCTCCTTCCTCACCTGCCGCCCCCCCCCAGACAGGGACTGTCACCTCACCCACCCAGGGGACCGCCAAGTACCCATCAAGACACAGAGATGGGCCACTCCAAGGAGAAGGCACAGAGCTGACCAGGGACATGGCGCCCCTGCCTTCTGTTGGCTTAGAATGCACACAGAAAAGTAGGGGTTCTGCAGCGTCAGCAAAGCTGAGAGCCAGGGTTTTTATCATGCTGTGAACACGCACTCCTGAGAATGATAAGCATTGAACCGACCAGGAGGCTGTCAGTCTCAGTTTGAGGGTTTAGAAATATTGGGACGAATAATTAGATTTCATATCGTTACCGCAGCACCCATCAGAGGATCAGGCAGATTAATTTTTTTCACCCTACTCTGCTCATTAATATTCATTAGAGACAGGAGGCCCAGCCTCTGCCTTGCTGCTAGCCACGTTGGTTTGCCCACCCCTGCACCAGCCACCCCCCACTAGTTCCACTTTGCCCCAGGCCTGACCCACCACTGTGGCCTCAGTAGACCTCCCAGCCGGCGGGGAACCCCCAGCTGGCACCCACCAGCTGGCACCCAGCTTCCACCCCCTGCTCTGCAATATTACAATCACCAGGTGTTTACTAAAAGCAGAGAGCCACCTGCCCCAAAGCAGGCTCCTTGGTGGAGATGCCCACAGTTGGTATTCACCTGGCCTGGTGCTCCATGGACACCAGCCTCCTGGGTCCAAAGGCACAGCCCCTGCCTGGTGTGTCCTGACCAAAGGGAATGCAAAAGCAAGGGTGTTGGTGGCAGGGGCTGGTCAAGTGCTGCTCGCACACCAGACAGGCACTGTTCACAGGAGGGCTTCACATAGACTGCTTCTTCCCAATGTCCTAGGAGACACTGAGTCAAAGAGCCAAAGATGAGATATGCCTTGCAAGCACGTGGCAGGACGAGAATGGGTCCAGAGTGAACACGTAGGCTCGGGCCACAGTTCCAACCAGGAAGGGCATCCATCACCTGTTTGCAGAGAGATGCCAAGGCCCAGGGAGGGCTGCGTGGTAGTGGGATGGGTGGGGCTCTCCCTGACCCACTGGCCAGCTATACTCTGCTCGCCTGTTCCGTGACGGAGCCACATAGCTTCTTCAATGGCCAAGGTGCCCCAACATGGTTGGGAGTGTTACTGGGAGTGCCCAGCATACTGGCCTGACCCCCAAGTCTGCCACAGGATGGGGACGAGATGCAGAGGTGGTCAAAGGGGCTGTTGAGGGGTGATCCCTTGCCCAAGGTCACAGTGATGGAGGTCAAGCTTAGACATGACCCCAACGCTCAGCTCTGGAGCCCCTGTCGCCCTCACAGCCAAAGCCCGGGAGAGTGCCTTGGGCTCCAACCCGGCGGGACGTCAGAGGACACCCCACACACCATCCCCAGCCCTAGCTGTCCCACATGGCAGCATCCCCACCAGCTGCCATGCAACAAAACCACCCCCATATAGGTGGGGTAGCATTTCCTGGTGAGAGCAAGTGACACTGGTTCTTCAGTTAAAGGTCCTGATGTGCCACATTTCTAAATAAAAAGCATTTATTTGCAGAAAACAAAACACCCAAGTGATGTGCACCATACCTTTTCACACGGGACTCAGCTGCTGAGCTTAGGTACCTCCAGGCAGAGGAGCCCACAACCTGGGCCCGGTGCTGGGGCTGAAGCCCAAAGAGCAGCGGTGGTCGCCTCAACCTTGGACACAAAGGGCCATGGTTCTGCCCTGTCCACCAGTCAACTGTAGATCTGTGCCACAACCCCAAGTGTAACCAGCAGCTGGGCCGGTGCCGGGCTCTAGGCAGCCCATCCCTAGCCAACCACCTCTAGGCACCACACTGCACTGGGACAGAGGACGAGTGTTCCCTCCACTCTGCGGGGCTCCGGAAGTCAGGCCGCCCCGCTCAGAGGGCCTGACCAGAGCACTCTTTCCTCCCGGGCGCTGTGAAGGCTGGCTTCCAGACCCAGCTGGAAAAGAGCACATGCACTGCTGGGCAAGGTGCCGGTGCCAGCTGTCTCTCCCCTGCCTCCTGCCCTCCCCGTGCCTCAGTTTCCTCACCTGTGAGATGGGAGAACACTGCCTACTCTCCAGGCTGGCCCACAGCCAGGGGGGCAAGGGGCTAGTCTCTGGGAGCCACAAGGAAGGGACCGGGTGCTGAGCCAGCCTCAGCATGGGGACACTGCCTGGGGACCTCAGTGAGCCGCTGGGCCCAGGCAGGTGTCCTTCAAATGTCTACCACCTTCTGGTCCCAGGTTGGTCTGAGCAAAAGTTGGCCTGCCCTGCTGTGCGATGGGGGAGGGGAGCCCCACTGTCTGGGAGGACGTGGAAGCCCCTCTTGTCAGGACATGCCATCTCCTCAGGACCAATCTTAGCCTTGGCCCACAGAGGCCCTGGGGGTCCTCATGGGAGGAGCCTGTGCCCCCCTGGGCACCCTAGGAACCCACCGTAGCACCCAATGGCCTGCTAAGGTGGCAGGGGGCAGTGAGGAGAGAACACAGGTCTGGATGTGAGTCCCCTCTCAGCCACTGGCTGGCTGCATGACCTTGGGTTATGTTGCACGATCTCTCTGGGTCTCAGTTCCTGTGAGAATCCAGCATTTGACAAGGAGCAGGCCCACAGCCTGCCATCCACCAGGTGGTCTCCCTGTAGGGACCCCCAGATGTGCTTTCCCCCTGACGTGTCCTTGCTGACCCCTCCTTTCTGACCCCCCCAGAGCCCCACCCTGATGCTGCTACTGGAGGATGAGGCCTGCTGGCTGAGGACACTGCCCCGGGTCCTGACGGAGGCTGAGGCCAATGTGGAGATCCACAGGAAGGGTTGGTATCTGGCACTTCCCTCTCAGCCTTCCGGAAGGTGGAGGTCCTTCGGCTCTCCCTGGGCTGGCCCTTAAAGGGAAACCAGCCTGTTTTGAATCAGGCCAAGGGACTGGCCACCACACTCCTACCATCCAATTAATGCCCATCTGGGGGTGGGCACTTGTCTGGCCTAGGATGGGGAAGCAGGGTCTCAGGAAGCCAGGACCACTCTGAAGGCCCCTGGGATACCACCAGTGCAGCGAAGGAACCCAGGCCAGGAAGGCCAGGACCTGGGCCCAGCAACAGGTGCCGAGTGGGCCAGGGCCTGTACACTCTGACCCACGCCTGCCTCTCTGCCCCTTTTGGAAAAGGGGTCCAAGAGGGAGGACCCGGGTGAGTCAAAGGAAGAACAAGGTGGGAGTCCTTGCCCCCTCACCTCAATTCAGAGTTCAGGCCACTCAGATACACGTGCTTCCGTCTCCATCACCATGGCCCTGCCTGCCCTGAGTGGTCTTACTTCCTAAGGAAAGTACAGCATGGGCTTTCCAGTGTATGAGTATCAAGATGGTGTGGAAACCCCCTCCCCCAATACAAATAAGGGGAGGATGTGGAGACAGACATGTGACAACTTCTACAGACAAGCAGGGCCCTTTCCCACGTAGCCACCCAGGAGGGCTGTGGGCCTACTGACCACCGGAAACCCACCCCACTCCCCTGCAAGGGAGCTCTGCTTTGCTAAAACATCCTGGGAGGCCTCACTTTCACCACCGCCTGCGCACACAGCACATTTGGCTAAACTCTCCAGAGCAGGCAATGCTCCATCCTGAGGGTGGCTCTGGTTTCCAGACAGTGGCCTTCTGACAGGCTCCTCGGCCCAGTCTCTTCCCACCTGGGGGTTGCCAGGGCTTGGCTGCGGTACGAACAGGTGCTGGGCTCAGCACGTGAGGACCTGGGCTTTCCAGTCTGCCCTGCCAGCCCCATGTACCTGGCCCAATGCTTCATCCTGTGTACCTCAGTTTTCCCACCCACAGTAGGTGAGATCCCTGGCCCCTCCTCCCCATCAAGGAGTAGTCTAAGGACCCAGAAAGCAGCTGGAGGGGTGGGTATTGGCAGCAAGTAGTCATCCATGAGATTATACACCAAGCCAGGGTATAGGCCAGTTAGCACTGCCTGGCTCACCCTTCCTTCTAGTCTGATCAGCAGGGCTCCAGCCACCTGTGTCTGCCCACACAGAACCAGGGTCCTTGCGGCTAGTGAAACGGGGACCCTTGGGTAGCTCACTGGGGTCCTGTTAGCCAAGGCTGCCCCCTGCAGGCCATGTTGGGAAAAGTGCACCAGCAGAGTTGAATGGACCAGGCAGGCAGGTCCCAGTGGCTACCAGGTCCTGCCCAGGCACTCTGCCACCTGTCCCACATGCCATCCCTCTTCTGGAAAACAGGGCAGTTCTGCTGGCCACACTCGGGGCCCTCCAACTCGATGGGCTCAGGGCAAGAAAGCCTAAGGTTTGGACAGGCCACCACCCAGTTACCCCAAAGAGGCAAGACCACTTGTGGAAACCAACCAGCCACAGCTGTAAATCAGGCATGACAACTCCCTGACCTTGGCCTTGGCCCCACCCCCCACCTCAGGCTTCAAAACTTCGGGTCGTCAAGGGTAAGGACATCAAGGGTGTCCTTACCCTTACAGATGAAGCCCTCTGGTGCAGGCTCACCAAGCCAGTGCCAGCAGGAGGACTGCTGAGCACACTCCTTGTAGCAGAGCCCCACAGCACCCCCAGCCACCCTGTGAAGAAGGAGCCAGTGGAACCTGAGTGCCTGGCTCCCTCACATACTGACATCCAGCTCCTGCCCCAGCAAGCTGGCATGGCATCCATCCTGGCCACGGCAGTCATCAACAGTGAGTATGCCCATCCCCATGCCCTGCCTTTCAGCAGGGCCTGCCCAGTCCCGAGGCACAGGACTGCAGGTAGTGCTCAGTGCTCAGGAACACAAAGATCTGTGACCACTGGGATCTGAGCAGAGAAGGAAGTGGGCTGCAGTGGGTATGCACACTGGGCTTGAAAGTAGGGCCCCAGGAAGAGGGTTTGGGGTGGGGCTCCAGGCTACTGCTAGAGCATGAATGACATGGCTGGTTCAGGGATGGTGAGGGGGCAACCCTGAGCAGGTTGCAGGGAGGCATGGCAGCAGCAGGTGCCTAGCGTGGGCAGAGAGACAGCAAGGTCCCCAGGACTCAGGTCTTGCACTAGGAAAGGCACAGCAAGCAAGCACACACCTGAGGCCATGCCTCCCCTTTTGGGGCAGAGCAGGTTTGTCTCTCAGCCCCTGCTAACATGTGGATTGCCACCGGCCCAGCCCACTAAACACTGGGACTGCCCGACTTCCCAGCACATAGTAACCCTCAAAGAGTTATGACAGTGAAATAGGATCCACTCTTCCCACTAATACTCATTTAACATCCACACTGAACCAAGCAGTGGAGGCACCAAGGCCACCAAGATGGGGTGGTGGCCCGCTGTGAGAGTGGTGGCAGCGGCTGCAGGGGAGGGTAGATCCAGGAAGGAAAGCAATGGCGTGGTCAGGCAGTGGCAGGGCTCCTTTAATTGAGGTGCTCAGGAAAGCTGCTCAGACGAGAACACTCAGGTTTGGACCTGCATGCCAGGAAAGAGCAGCTGAGTGGTTGATCACCCACCGCAGTCCGGGAGGTGGTCACTGTGGCTGGAACCTGGCAGTGCAGCAGGCATGCAGGTGGCCAATCTTTGAGGGTGGTTCCAGGTAAGAACCGATTTATTCTAGGAGCAATGAGGCCTCACTAGAGGCTTTAAGCAGCAAAGGGTGTGATCCAGTTTGGCTGCTGGGTGGCAGCTGTGGGGTTGCAAAACTGTAAGTCAAAGGTGATGATGGCTTGATGCAAGTGGGTGCAGCTGAGACAGAGCCAGAGGTGACACTGGAGCCCACAGGGACCAGCCGGATACGGTTGGGCTGGGTGAGGAGGTGGCAGCGAGCAAGAGGTCAGGCGCTTCAGTGTGGCCATCAAGGTAGATGTTAGTCAGCACCGTGGCTGGTGGGGGGTGAGAGGAGAGCCCTTCTGAGCATCCTAACCCAAAGGCAGACGGGGAACGTGAGCTGGGGCTCAGGGTTGTCAGAGCTTCACAAGCTCTAGGCCAGCGTGAGACACCCAGGAAGAGACAGGGCCTTTAGACACTAGCATGGGGTGGGGGAAAGTCTGCCAAAGACTCTGGTGTTTAATTCTTGACACTCCACCACCTTCAGCCTGTTTTTCTCACCTGTGAAGTTGGGATAATGGTAATACCAACCTTAAGGTGTTTGTGCAGGCTTCCTGGGCTACACCCACCCAGGACTTGACCGGTGGTCAGCCCACCTGCAGTCATTCCTGGGTCGCAGTGGCCAGGGCTTGAATGGATCTCTGAGGCTCTGGCCCCTCTCCTGACACCATGGGCAGCAGCACAGTCCGCAGCAGACTTTGCAAATATAAAAAAAAAAAATCTACCGGTGGCCTCAGGTCCCCAACCCAGCTCAAGGTTTCAGCTTATAGAGAACAGAGCTGCCTTGAGACCCCAAATGAAAGGGAACTTGAAAACCAGAGGTAGGAAGGAAACAAAGCTAGAAAAACTGTAGGTATAGGGTGCAAGGGGTGGTCACCTCAGCCAGACAGATAAACCTCATTCCTTAAGAGAAGTGGGAAAAGCAGGAAACCTGGTGGCCTCCTGGGTGGAGGAAGAGTACCTGCACAGTCACTAGGGACCCGGGACAAACATCGGAGAAGCCAAGCTGAGAAACACACCCTAACCTGCAGAAATAGGAACCAGATGATGAGGAACCCCAGGGCCCTTCATTCTACCTCTAAGGTACAAGCCCTGCCCTGGCCACCTTCAGCCAAGGGGCAGCTGGCCGCAGAGCAGGGGCAGAGACATGAAGAGCATTCCTTTAAATTTTGCTATACAGACACACAGAACCAGAGAATGGTGAAGCAGCCACCAGAGAAATCCTCACCTGCTGGCAAAGTCAGCCCTGCAATCCAAACTCCAAAAACTGAAAAATTAGAGGCAGTTTACTTGGGGTAAATTTGGTGGACTCATTACTGTGATCGTTCAGTCAGTAAATGATGTAGAACCACCCAGATATATGGGGGATGACAAGGGAACAGGAAGGACTCCTCTTCCTTGCATCCCCTGGCCTCACCTCCTTCCCACCCTCACCCCAGAAGCCACCCAGAGCGATGTTCAACTTTCGACCTTGTGCCCAAGTGCCTGGGGATTTTGATGCATCTGGTCTCTAAGCACCTGGCCACTCACACCCCTGTTGACGTGCACACACCTGTTTCATCCTCCACCAGCACCCAGGTCCTCCCTCTACAGCCCCCCTGCCAGCACACATGCACCTGCACACACTCTCTACCTTCTTCCCCTGTACATGACTGCTGCCACCAAATAAATGACATAACCATGTCCTCCACCCGAGTCCCACTCCTGCAGGTGTCCACTAATGAATGTGTCCACGCTCCTCCCATGAGCACCCCATGAGGCCATGGCATCTCCTTATGGGCTCACTGTCAGAAGGCAGCATGGAGAGCATCCTGGGCGGTACTCAGAGCCCATCCACATGGCCCCACAGCATCCTGGAAATCCACAGAGTGGGCACCCCAGGTTATAAAAGAACAGATAAGAAAGAGTAGCAGTGATGGGGAGGAAAGGCCAGATCACAACTTCCCTGCTCAAAGCAGAAGGATGCAGGAGCATAGCCCTCACTTTGCAGAGAGTACACTGTCTCACCCTGGGTTGCAGGCAGCCCCTCTCTGCTTCTCAAATGTCCCCTCAGGTGTCACCTACCTCTTGTCCCACAGAAGATGTATTCCCCTGCAAGGACTGTGGCATCTGGTACCGCAGTGAGCGGAACCTGCAAGCTCACCTCCTATATTACTGCGCCAGCCGCCAGAATGCCAGCTCCCCTGCCTCAGCCACCACTGATGAGAAGACCAAGGAGCCGTACCCCAACGAGCGTATCTGCCCCTTCCCCCAGTGCCGAAAAAGCTGCCCCAGTGCCAGCTCGCTGGAGATCCACATGCGCAGCCACAGTGGTGAGGCTCCACGCCCCCCCAGGACCCCAGCCTGCTTCATGATAGCGCATGTGTGCCCACTACACCCAAGCCAGATAGGCCTGTGTGGTCTTCCCACCATACCACATAGCCTCCCAAAGCTCCCAGGGCACAAAGCCCATCTATGGCTGCCTGGATGGTCAGCTCGGGGCTGGGCCCAGGCTGGGGTCCTGAGAGGCTTGAAGAGCCCTCCACACATGACCCGTATTACGGCCCCTCACTGGGCCCTGTGTTCCAGGCGAGCGCCCCTTCGTGTGTCTCATCTGCCTGTCGGCCTTCACCACCAAGGCCAACTGCGAGCGGCACCTCAAGGTGCACACAGACACACTGAGCGGTAAGCGGGCTGGGAAGGGAGTAGGGCCAGGTCAGGGGTGTTTGTGGAGCCCACCAGCTCCAGGGCCCTGACATCACAGCCCATCTGCAGGTGTCTGCCACAGCTGTGGCTTCATCTCCACCACAAGGGACATCCTCTATAGCCACCTGGTGACCAGCCACATGGTCTGCCAGCCAGGCTCCAAGGCTGAGATCTACTCACCAGGAGCTGGGCACCCCTCAGTCAAGCTCCCCCCAGGTGAGTCCCAGGGGGCCCCTCAGAGGACAAGGGAGGGGTCTGGTCCATGAGACAGCTGGGGGTCAATTTGGCCTTGGCCCTCCACCACCCCTACCCAGCCCAGCTCTCCCTTCCCACCCTGCCCCCTCCTCAGGTCTGGCCCAGGCAGGTCCTGCTCCAGCCCTGAAGTGTGGCCCATGGGGTCTTCCTGCAGACAGTCTGGCTGGATTCCAGCAGCACACGGCCCTTCATGGCCCCCTGGCCTCCTCTGACGTGGGCCTGGGGTCCACCCCATCACCAGGACTGGACAGGAAAGCCCTGGCCGAGGCCACCAATGGAGAGGCCAGAGCGGCCCCCCAGAACGGGGGCAGCGGTGAGCCCCCTGTGGCACCCAGGAGCATCAAGGTGGAGGCGGCCGAGGAGCCCGAGGTTGAGCCAGGGCCCCCAGCCCCTGCATCGCGGACGCCCTCCCCGCCCAGCCCCACGCCCGCAGCGGTCAAGGCTGAGCTGCCCAGCCCCACGCCCGGCTCCAGCCCAGGCCCCGGTGCACTGTTCCTGCCACAGTTCCCTGCTGCGCCCCCCGCCTCGGAGATTCTGGCCAAGATGTCCGAACTGGTGCACAGCCGGCTGCAGGTGGGGGTGGGTGCGGGGGCGCCGGCAAACCTACTCGCGGGGGCCCCCAAAGGCGCTACATGCTTCGAGTGCGATATCACCTTCAACAACGTCAGCAACTTCTACGTACATAAGCGCCTCTACTGCTCCGGCCGCCGCGCGCCCGACGACGCACCCGCGGCTCGCAGGCCCAAGGGGCCCCCCACCCCTGCTCGCGCGCCCCCCGCCCCGCCACCTGCCGAACCCGACGCGCCAGGCTCTTCGCCCAGACCCCGAGCGCACGAGGACCAGGCGGGGGACGCAACCGCGCCGGAAGCCGAGACGGGCGGCCGGGGCAGTGAGGACAGCCTGAGCCCGGTCAGCGGGGCGGACGAGGAAGACGACCCCCGTCGGACACTGTGTGAAGCCTGCAACATCCGCTTCAGCCGCCACGAGACCTACACAGTGCACAAGCGCTACTACTGCGCTTCGCGCCACGACCCACCGCCACGCCGGCCGGCCCCCGCTGCCCTCCCAGGAACCCCTGGGCTCCCCGGCATCCCCGTACCCGCGCCGCCACCCGTGCGCACGCGCAGGCGCCGCAAGCTCTACGAGCTGCAAGCGGTCAGTCCCGCCCCGGCAGCGCCGGGCCCCGCCCCACCAGCGCATGCTCCTGGCCTGGAGCTACCTGCTTCGCCCTCGCCGCGTCCCGGAAGCGGAAACGGGCCGGATCAGTCCGACGGCCCCATCGATTTGAGCAAAAAGCCGCGGCGCCAGACCTCTACCGCCCCAACGCCAGTGCTGCCGGCCCTGGCAGATTACCACGAATGCACGGCCTGCCGCGTGAGCTTCCACAGCCTCGAAGCCTACCTAGCGCACAAGAAGTTTTCATGCCCCGCTGCACCGCGTCGCCCCCGCGCCCCGGAGGATCCCGCCGTCGTGTGCCCCTACTGCCCCCCGAATGGCCTGGTTCGCGGGGACCTCGTCGAGCACTTGCGCCTGGCGCATGGCCTGCTGTTGGGCAAGCCCCTGACCGGCCCCAGCGCAGAGGCCCGGACGCCCTCGCCTGCCGCCCCCCGTGATGGCCTTAACGGCCAGGAGCCACCCACTGGCCCTCCTGACAGCAGTCCCCGGCCCACGGCCCCATCAACCCCTCCTTCCCACTCGGACAAGGGCGTCCAGACCCCCAGTAAGGGGACGCCAGCCCCCCTGCCCAACAGCAACCACAGGTATTGCCGCTTGTGCAACATCAAGTTCAGCAGCCTGTCCACTTTCATTGCCCACAAGAAGTATTACTGTTCCTCACATGCCGCCGAGCACGTGAAGTGACCGGAGGCCACACTACATACAGGAGACCGCTTACACGCCCCGCTGCTCTCCAGGAGCCAGGACCTACCAGCCTAATGCTCATAAAGACACAATCACCCCCAGGAACCCGGCTGTTGGTGACTCTGGTGCCTAGGAAACGCACCAAGCACAGGCCTCAGCAGAGGAGGCTGCTGATGGCAGCGCCCACCTGGATACTTGGCACTTAATAAAGAAGTTCAGTTTGATGAGTAGACTGGTGGAGCAGCCTAGTTCTCTGAGCAAAGGGCCCTGCACAGTGGGGGCACATGCTGGCCAGCATCTTGGGCAATCCATGCACCAAGCACTTAGAGGCCACCACGCCACCTCCAGCATACACACAGGCCACTGCAGTCTGGAATGACCAGACCCCTGAAAGAGTCACAGTTAGTGGCCCTAAGAACTGAACTGAGCCCCAGGTTAGTCTGATGCTACCACACACACAGAGCTGCTGCCCTGCCAGCTGCTCTGTACCTACTTGAGGCACAGAGGGAACAGGTACTGCCCTTCTAGGCCCACTGTTGCTGCCCACCAAATCCAACCAGAAGCTCTGGTTTGGCCACCAGGTAACAAAACAGAGGGCTTAATCCTACCCAGCGGTCTTCCCACTGCACTTGGTTCTGGGGCCTGGGTGTCACCTGTCCAGTCACAGGCCACCAAGGTTCTGGGGATGGGAGCATCTTGGGAAGGATGAAGCCTGTCGCTGCCCCGGCCAGTGGGAGAAGAGGAGCAGATAACAGACACCAGGGAAGAAGGTGCACAAGGGAGAGGGTACCAAGGCCCACAGTGGCCCCTGGGACCAGGGGGGACGAATCCTGAACTGGGTGTAGCATGGCACCTATAATGGCTGCAGTTGGGATGAGGGACAGGAGCACTGCACCCCCAGTCTGCTCTACTGGTACTGCAAGGGGTGCTCATGCCATGGCTGGACTGGACAGTGCCTGGCCAAACCCTAGCAAAGAGTCTAGCTGTGGTCCTGCCATTCAGCAGCTGGCTGAGCACCCTCCAGCCTGGTGTCCCTCCTCGAAAATGCACCATCAGTCCTTTCCAATTTTGTTTAAAGCAGTAGCAAACACAGTTTCACTCAGCAGCTCTGACCTTTGACCTTTGTCTGACTTGAGAGGTGCTTCCTGCCACCCACCTAGACTCAGTCTCCATGACTTCATCCACAGGCAAGAACTTTCTCTGAGCTAGTCCTGAGTACCAGGGCTCAATCAGACAAGGTCACTTGGCCAAGGCCGCTGGACAATCAGGGTTCCTTCACCCTCAGGGAAGGGTTGGGAGAGTGTCCCATGGGAGCCAAGCTCCCTTTCTTGTAGATGCCTGTTCTCCAAAAGACCAACCTGGCCCCTGCCCTCCTGGAGTGGGGTGGGGGAAGTGCACATACCCTCCACCCTGCTCCTTATTCGGAATGTTCTGCATTAATTTGCTTGGAGAGTTCAGGAAGCTCCAACTCTGAGTCAGACCAATAAATGAAAGGCACTCTGAAGTCCTCACACAGTTCTTTAAAAAAATTAAACCTAATAGTTTCACTCATTTACAGTGAGTGTATAAATTTTTTAATAATTTTTTTAAAGAAGGGTGCTGGCGAACATCAGGGATATGGCTTCTTATGAGGAACAGATGCTCAAAGGGGAGAAAAATTCAACACAGATTCACAGATGAGGGAGACCAGCATCCGTATCCTCACCTTGCCTCAAGAGCCACACCCCATCCACATACATAGTGACAAGTGAAACGGCAGATGTGAGTGGAAGACAGTGCTGTACAGAAAAGAGCCTCAGTTCCCACGCGTGTAAATGTGTGCAGGGCTGCGCTCGATGGTCCTGCAGCCTCTTCTGAGAGCTCAGTTCAGCAGACAGAGCTGGCCTTGACCCCTGTTCCAGGCCTGAACTACTGGCCCTGTCACCAAGGAGGTCCTGGGCCCTGTTGCCGATTGCCCTCACCCCCGCCTGGGGAGGGCCCCATGGTAACTTGGCCGGAGTCTCCAGGGCAGCACTGTGCAACTCGTTAAGGGTCCTACAAATGGGTCCTGGGTTCCCCCACTGCTCCCCACCTCCCAAGGTAGTGCCGAGCACCCTCCTGCACCCATCCACAGTCCAGAGCCCATCTTCACCACCTCCTTCCTCAGACCTGGGTTTCCCACACCCTGCAGATTCCTTCACTGCAGCCACCGTGCCAGCTATGGCCCAGGGACGGCACCCATGCCTCCTTCCCACTGCTCTTCAGGAACCCAAAGCTTCTGCCTCCCAAACATCCCCTCACCCCTCTAGTTCACTGCTCGCAGAGCCGCACAACCCCCCACTGCCCAGCCTCCCGGTGTGCACATGGATTCCCACACCCCTAAATCTCTCTCTAGCCCAGCCTCGCCTCTTGTGAACGCCAGCTCTGTCTGCCCACTGTGCTGGATGTCACCCTGATGTCCCTCAAGGGCCCTGAATGTCCAAGACAGCGCCCCGGCAACCTGCGTCTTCTCCCCGCCTCTGTGCAGAAGTTGCCGTCCACCCCGATAGGGCCCACACCTCACTGTCGCAGCAGTTCTTGGTTTTGCCAAATCTGCCTCTCCCACCATCTAGCTTCCAGGTCTGCAACTTTACCTGGATTCTCTCTCTCTCTTTTTTTTTTTTAAGATTTTATTTATTTATCATTAGAGAGGAGAAGAGAAGGAGAAAGAGAGGGAGAGAAACATCAATGTGTGGTTGCCTCTCCTACACCCCCCACTGCGGACCCGGCCTGTAACCCAGGCAATTGTAACCCAGCCCTGACTGGGAATCAAACCGGCAACCCTTTGATTTGCAGGCTGACACTCAGTCCAATGAGCCATACCAGCCAGGGCTGGATCTTCTCGTAATCACCACTTTCAAACCTATCGGCCAGTCTGCTAGTCCCTACCTCTCAAGGATACTGCTGCTTCGTCGCCTGTGCCCCCAGCCACAACAGATCCAACGGACCGGCCACCGCTGCTCTCCTCCCAGCTTCGACCAGGCCCTGCTCAGCCTTCAGGGGGTTCCTGCCACACGGAGGGGCCTCCAGGCCTCTTCACCACACTGTGCGTCACGGTCCTGTTCACCCGGCTCGTGTCAGTACTTCAGCCTGGTCTGCTCCCCCCGAGGGTGCCTTTCTTGTCACACTGCTGTCAGTCTAAGGATCATCCCTGACCTGCCTTACTTAGCACCCTGTTTATTTCCCCCATAGGAGTGATACTCTAGAAATCTGGTTTTATTTTGCCATCCCCTTGTCCCTCCCCAAGGGCGTCATCTACCTTGACTACTGCCTGCTGGGCACCTGGCCAGTGGCCTTACACCAGGGAGGGGCATGCAGTCACTGAAGTCACAAAGGAATGAAAGGACCAGCAGAAAAATGAGCGAGTCCCCCTTCCCCATACCTTGATGGCCCATCTACAGCCCATCCCCAAAGCCAGCCCCTTCTGTCCACCCCTGGGCTTCTTCCTGGACCCCACTATTCCAATCCTTCCACTATACAAATTGCACCTCCCTGGAGCCAACTCTGACCAGGGACATCATATAACAGCTCCTTGCACACGTGGCCCCTGTTCAAGGCCACCATTCAACCCCATGTCCTCCTAACCAGGCCGTCCACCCAGAGTCCTGTGAGGGTACTAAATGGTCAGCCCACTCCCAGGCCATTGCCATCCATAGCCCTGTGCACCCGCATACCCCCAGGGACAGCCTAGCTCTGGGGTTCAAGGCAAGCGGACATTTCTGGCACCAGGGGTCAACAGCAACTCATTTGTGTGAGCCAGAAGGCCAGGTGCCGAGAGCTTGCCCTGTCACACTCCAGGCTCCAAGCCTGCGGGCCCTTTGTCCCCCGAGACAGAAGGAAAGGGGTACAAGGGAGCAAAGAGGCCTGGGAGATAGCCCATCACAACCAAGAATGAGACTCAAGAGGCCATGGAGATTGACCTCGAAGTTTGGAAAATAGTCCACCTCCACCGGAGGGCCAGGAGCAGCAAAGATGACCAGTCAGAGAGGAAGGGGCCTGGAATGGGGTTGGCCTTGGGGCAAGGGAACTCAGGGAAGACAGGGGGTCCCCAGGCAGAGTCCCAGCAGGCACCAGACCATAATCAAACTGCTTCCACAGTGCCCACAGTATGCCTTGTACTCTTGTTGCTGATTTTTTATTGATTGATTGATTGATTGATTGATTGATTGATCTTAGAGAGAAAGAGAGGAAGGGGGAGAGAATGAGACAGAGAGAAACATTAATTTGCTTCTCATCACTTATACATTTATTGGTTTATTCTGGTATGAGCCCTAACGGGGCATCAAACCCACAACCTTGATGGGGGTCTGTTCTAAACAAATGAGCTCCCTGGCCAGGGCCCTCCTGTCATTGCTCTTATAAAATGGGCGGCAGGCTCAGAGGGGGTGCAACTTGCCACAATCCCCCCAAACCATGACGACTGCTGGGAGCTCTGAAGCAAACTGCACACATGGCCCCAGACTGCCCTGTCACATGGCTGCCGGCTCATCAGGTGCCTCCTGGGTACAACTGGGATCCCCGCTGCACCAAGGCCCCAGCCTGGCTCACAGCCCTGCCCTCACCAGGGCTCTCAGTGGTGTCAGCTTCGAAGGGTTGGCCTGCATGTCCTTCCTGCCTGACCAAATCAGACCTCTCTCCCTCCATCTCCAGCTGCCTCACCACTGGGGACAACTTAGGAGAGAGGTGCTCTGGGATGCAGTTGGCTGCAGTTCCCAAGAGAACCTCTTCTCCCATCAGCATTACCTGAGCCGGTGGGGAATCCACATTCTAGGGCCTCCCACAGGGCTGAAGCAGGTCGGGGCCTGAGAACCTGCATTTAATGAGCTTCCAGCAGATTCTTCTCTAACAAGTTTGAGAAATATCCACATAACAAGAGCATAGACTGTTCACATCTTTCTTAAGAGCCTAGCAGGTGCAGAGACAGCCATGCTGAGAGGATCATTGTTGGCTGGGGCAGGGATGAGCCCGAAGGGAGCTGGATCCATCCCCCAGGCTTTTACAGCCCGGGGGATGACGAGACCACCGCTTCCCCTTCACAGGGTGTGTGGTTGGCCACCCCAATGTCCTGGACACTCCCTGATACCTTTCGCTCTTCATCCATGACACAGATGAGCCTTTGAGCCCTGGCGCTGCTAAGCCTGGATTACACCAGTGCCCAGAATAGCCGGGAGTGGCAGCTCCAGCCTCGAACGTGGAAGGACACCCCGTGCAGAG